TTTAGAGTCATTAGTACGATAATCTCATTCACAAAGCATCAGACCTCTTGGGTGCAAATTCTATAATCCTTACTGCTTAATCTTATCAGTTTTGTAGAATTGGTTTATGATTGCCTGGGTTGTTGTCTACACTTGCAATCTTCCCATCACTGCCACTGCTGGATCTGAACCAGAGATGGCAATGGTGGGAAGTTTTATCAAGAGTGTGTTTAAGGCTTGGTCTACTATAGAGCAGAAGGTTGACTTAAGATATGTAACTCCAGCTACATTAACTACATAGCTGTAGTCAATGTATTTTAAATCTTGTATCTGCACCATCCACACAATGGGAGGTTGCCGGAAACATTTGCTCCCATCGGCTTCCCTTACTCCTCATGAGCAACAGGAGTACTGGGGACACCATCTGAGCTTGATTTATTGGGTCTTCGCTAAATCAAACCCCGAAGATCAACCATGGCAAATGTAGATCTTCCACGTAGTGTAGACATGGCCTTAGAGTGCATGCAAAGCTAGTAAATAAAACTGACAACTTTTTAAAAGAACACTCTGTGTAAGATCTGGCAGACTTGGGACCTAAGATCACTCAAGACTCATTCATTTTAACTCATCACGCAGCTCATCTGTGCAAAGTAGAGCTAATCAGTTTTGTTGTCAAAAAATTACAATATTTTGAAGATAATTTTTTTGTTTGGCTCTGAATGAAAATTTTCCTTTTTTTGATTGAAAGACCAGAAATTCTCATGAGAAATGTCATTAGCATTTTTAGACCAGTTCTAATGCAGTGTAGAGGCACTATTTCAGTTCCTGTTCCTGTTCGTGACTCAACGCTGCACAATCATAAATCCAAATGAGGTTCAGAAATATATCAGTCAGTCTGGTTGCATCATGGCTGTGTGTGTTTGATACTATTAACTTTGCCTTTGTATGCTGTTGTTCCATCCTACCAAATCCTGCCATTCTAATTTCATGATTTGATAGGGACATTCTTTATAACAAGACTTTAAAATCAAGATTAGACTAAATAATTACACTGGAGTGTCAATACTTGAAGTCTAATCTTTAAGATGGTTCATGATGTCCTTTAAACATCAAGGCTATGACAAGTGAATTTGATACATGCCATCACCCACCACAATCAAACTTTGTAAGATTTTTTTAATATACTTTTGGCACACAACTACACGTTTATACATGTATTAATTGGACACAGCCGCTTTTATTTCAAATATGCAGCTACTCAATTTACATGTACCTAATTACCTGATTTGTGTGAACAAACATGGCCATTACATATGGTAAGAAGGTACAAATAAACAATTAAAATAGTAAGCAAATCTGATCATATTCTTATGCCAACTGTTTTAGTTCTCTAGACCTACTTTATTAAAGTAACATCTTTGAATAGCAGAAGTTCAACTCCTTAGCCTCGATAATTATCTGGTTGCTTTTGTAAAGGTTTCTTTGTACACAGTTATGTCACGTGGCTTGTTGATAACAGAGTTGAATATTCTTAGATATAATTTCTTCTGCTTTCCTTAAAATGTGAGCAATATAAACAAAGAATATAGCCACGTAAAAGTGCACTTAGAAATTTAAATTAAGTATTATCTATAAAATATATAGGATTAACTTTAGATACAGACCACTTCCCTTATGTATATTTGACCAGAAATAAATTTGATAGTAAAGACTGGGTAAGTTTCCAGAAGTAATGTTGAGTTCTGAGTAAATAAGGTCTTCTTACATGTGTGAATTTGGCTGGAGTAGGGGTCGAGCTGTGTGTACTTTAGATGATCCCAGAGTACCTCAAGAAGTAGTAACATATTTTGGGATCTTTACTGATGGGCAGAAAAAATTAATTCCTACTTGCCCAAATTTACCACTCACATAAACAGCCAGAATTCCATTTAAGATGGGGGAATTGCACTTGTTTAAGTGACAAATTAATTTATTTTCTATATATGCTAAAAACAGATATTTGAAGGATCAGATTTTTAAACTCCGAAAAGACGACAATACATTCAGGCTCCCTCCCTCCTTCCTGCCATGGTACCAGC